TCATTTAATCACGTAGAACATTTTTGCCCCTTATGAACGTTAAATTTTTACATTATAATTTAATTTTTTTCCCTACCAATCCAATTCGGTAAATAGATCCAATTGAGAAGAACTGGCAAGAAACTCAATTGAATTAGTTTTTTTAAAGCAGTTTATTTACAATGTATATTTATATAGCTGTCTATGTCTAACATATAGATAACAGAAGGTTATATGATGCCACATAAACATCATATAACCTTACTGGATAATAATGATTAGAATATTTTTAGAAATATTTTTTAAGCTATAATAAAAAAATCTAATAAAATATATAATAAAAAATCTAAGTACGATTTGCTACCTACATAATACATTACCTAATAAACGATATGTACGTATAATTAGGGAAAACGGGATCTTACCACGTTTTATTTTTCCGAGTTCGCGATATTTCGGCAGAGTTTCAACGCGCCGTGATTTCTACTAATTATACGTGTAAATAATGACACGTCAAATGTAAAATAGTATATAATAATTTGGTACTTCTGTTCAAATAATTAATTATTTATTTAATAAATAAATCTTTGTTTTAATTACTACATTACAAACAATGAGTGTAAGACATGTAATTACACTAAACTCTACAGCAGTATTGTATACAGAGATGGTAGCCGGTCTCTGTAGGCATAATGTAGGCCATTCTGTGGGATGGTCGGGTAGCTGGGCGACAGGAGATTTGCTCGTCCGTCTTGATGGATGACGATACTACTCGGTCTTGTACCAATTGGAACAATTCTTATTTCGCAACTTGTTAGTTCAATTTTATTAACTAAACGTAGAAAGCCATATGGCATTAATTTCACCAATTGTGTAATATTTTAAGTGCAATAAAGAATATATAAAATTAATAAATAAAGGCATACTTTTAGTTTTCTTCTTTCTTTATTCGTTAATAATAAAACAGCGTGTTACACGATGGTCAAGGAATATTAGTATCAATCCTAATATTAATATATAGGATATAAAATTAATTACCTACCTACTACATGTAATAAATCTAGTACATATTATAGCAGTCGTATAATATATTAATTACGTTACAAGTAATATGTTTACTTATTCTTATATTAAAAATAAAAAAATATAACATTATAACCAAACAAACAACATGTTGTATGAACAGAATTGTCGGTCGAAAGAAATCTATTCTGTACATATAATACTTAGGTACAAAAAAATAGGACAATATTTATTTAGTACGAATATCAAAAATATATTTGGAATTAGTCGCAAATGTATTTGATTATTGTATTTTATTATTTAGAAAATTTATAACACGTGTCAGTACTTTCTAAATCAGTTTTTTACTAAAATATACACAATAAGAAATACCAAAACAGTAACACACTGCTCTACAACTTAAGGGTTTGACTGTACGTGAGCAGAATGACTATTACTTTCATAAATAATATATTATAGCTATATTTACGCCTTGTTACCAAAAATCTTAAATAACTTAGGCATTCTGCGCAATTCCATTATAGCTTAAAATTATACAATTATACCCAAAAAATAGTGTTTGAATAAGGAGCGGGGTTGATTTATGTATTATATTTAATGACTTTTACAACTAAAGGTCTACGTAGAGTTAAGAAGGTATGAAGGTAAATCTTGATTTACATTTCGAGAACATTCGATTCAATTCAATCAACTATTACAATATAATGTACACTCAGTGGTAGATTAGGTACGATAGATATTTCTTGTTTGTTTTTACAAAGTCAACTTAGTATTTGGTTGCGCCATATAACATTACATTTTTGTTTATCATTGTATAATTATTATTAGTAATAGTTTGTTCAAATAAATAATTTAGCGTGGTACGAAACGTTAATTTTCTAAGGATTGGCACTACACTAATTCCTTTATCCTCTCCTATTCCCGCATATACCTTTGTTTTAAGTGCGAGCGAGAAGATTCGCTTGTATCGAAAGTATATATCGCGCTCGCGCGTCACTGTAAAATTGAACGCTGAAGTTGACATTGAATTCCCGCCTTGATCGCGCTTAAGATCAAGTTTTTTGTAATTCGTGATAATTACTAAACATTTTAATCCACCGCATCGCTCTAGTGTGTTTAAGACCATTGTGTTTGTGCCATTGTTGTGAAGCAAGTAGCTGGGACCTGGAGACACCGATAGCCGCCGCACTGTACAAATAAGGTACTGTGCCTCCTTCCTTACCAGAATGTCTTTCTTTGTGTTCCATCCTCACAAGCAGTTCTCAATCACCAATAACAGTGTATCGTGTCAATCCACGTACCCGTCAGATTATTTAGATACAGTCCACTTAAATCAAAATCAAACAATATTTATTTCACCCGCGCCGCCATTATTTTAGTGGTCCATTTCGAGCCGAATATTTAATTATTTGGTTAAACCACACTAGATATTTTATAGGTATATACAAACGCATACAATTAATTTGTATTTTACTACATCATTTTCTTTATTTCGTTATATCGATGTTTCTAGAATCTCGTAGGTACATGTAGGTACAACTACCTGATAGATTCATATCAAATTCCGTGTCAACTCAATTTCGCATCGTAAGTAATAGTAGGTATTTACGATTTGTTGTAATACTGCATTGTTTTAACCTAACTATAGGTAAAACAACTTTATTTTGTAGTCACCGCATTTATATTCGTAGTTATCAATTACTTTCGCGCCAAGTCTATCTACCTACATATTGATATCCTCAGGCCCCCTTAGGGTAGGCTGAGACGCATACGATATTATAGCTTAATATTATCGCTTTCTACCGGTCTACTATTGAATGTAGCGGCATAGACTTTGAATTTAGTTCGCTGCAAGACATTGCTTACGCTGTAATAAACAGACATCGCTTTGTTTAATATAAATATTTGACAGATTCTTATCACGAGTACGTTGTGGTTTATTATTTCGTATTTTAATTGTAAGTACATTGTGTACTGCCGGCTCTCATTGCACCGCACCGCACCGCACCGCACCGCACCGTACCGTACCGCACCGCACGTAACTTGTGTAGGTATTTATCTGTTCTCCACCGCACCGCTTTCTTATATATTTATTAGTACAAACAAGTTTTTGTATTTATAGGTTGTTCATCATGTCGGATGTCAATCAGTTACCCCTGTTACTCGCTAAAAAGGATTTAATGTTTTCTCGTATTACAGTACTCAATCTTTCTAGTGAATATGAAAGAGAAACATTCTTGTGTGAGATCGAAACAGTTGACAAATTACGCTCGGATTTCGAAACTATGTTAGATAAAATAAATACTTTAGAATCTAAATTGAATCCTAAATATGTTATTAATTATACCGCTCATGGCATTTGATGATTTGTACGTAGAAAGGTACCGCCTGATGTCAAACATCATCAGCATAATAGGGATGAGGACAGGCCTCGTCTGCCCCCCTACCAATTCCGGAATACTCAGGAGATCTGAGATCCTGGTCTTTATTCTATACAGCTTACAAAAGCATAGTTCATGACAATCCTAGATTGTCAGATTCGGAAAAATTACATTATTTGATGGGTAAACTGACAGGTAAAGCTCGTTCTGTATTTGCCGGTATAAACCCTTGTTCTGAAAATTATAAGGTCATTTTAGATGCTTTAATTAGTAAGTATGAAGATAAGAGACTGCTCGCATCATCATACCTGGATCAAATATTCGAAATGAAGTTTTCATTCATCAAATATAAATTAGAACAATTTCTCGATAAATTAATAATAATTAATAATCTTTCGGATTTTATATTTTTGTATACCGCGTTAGATTCCGAAACCGCCCGCGCTTTCGAACTAGATAAACGGGGATCCGACATCCCATCTTTCGATACATTAGTGTCATTTGTGCGCGATCACATTAAAATATTGCAACGCACTTCTTAATACTAAGAAAGTTGTCGATCGTCGTATGGATGCGGCATCGATATGCAACATAAATCTACATACTCTTATACTACAACCGCTAATCCGCAGCCTAAGTGCTCATTGTGTAACATAAAACATACATTTATATGAATGTCCAGGTTTTCGAAATTTAACGCCTAATGATCGTTTCCGATTTGTTAAATCTATTCCTACTGTATTAATTGTCTAAGTAAAAATCACCGTGTATTTAATTGTAACTCAAATAGTCGATGTCACAAATGTGACTCAAAACATCATACTATGCTCCATAATGCCACCTCCACCGCGAACATACTCCGTGGTAGTTCGGTCACAGCGACTACGTCACGCGTAGTGGATCTATCGTCGCACTCGTCGCACACGCAGCCCGCTGTTGGTATGCCGACCGGCTCCTTGCACGGACCGCGCCCCGCACTCACCCCCGCCGACACCCGTCGTATCCCGCGCATCGGAAGACGTAGCATTATGCACGTTATCAGACAATGTTAATAAAAATATGCCTCGCGTACCTACTACAGTATTGTTAGCCACCGCTCGTGTTTTAATGATCGATAGAGACGGTAACGAACATTATATTAGAGCATTATTGGACAGTGCTTCTCAAAGTAATTTTGTAACTAGGGATTGTTGTAATCGCTTGGGATTGCAATGTATACAGAATACAACCTTTTCGATTAAAGGTATAGGAGGGACAACAAAGGCCACACAGGGTTCTGTACATATAAAATTCTTTTCACGGTTTAATCGTAATATTAAATTTGATATATCCTTATTGTAGATAAAATAACGAACGTTTACCGACTGTTAGTGTCGATATTTCATTATTTTCAAATTTTAAAAATTTGCCTTTAGCCGATGATAGTTACGCTACTCCTGGGAACATTGACATGTTAAGCCTATTTGATTACGTCTTGTATGCTATTGAGACCGTATTAGGCTTTGTTATTGTAGGTTCAGCTCCCGCTATTAATATGTTAGATAATTGTAATTACACTACCACCGCGCATTGTTGTGTTACCGAACGATGGAATCCGTTCTATGTAGATTCTGGGAAATGGAAGAGGTGAATGTTGCACCGATTCTCAGCCCGGACGACAAGGAGTGTGAAGCTATTTATGCTGGCACTACCACTCGCGAGGACGACGGTCGTTATACCGTCGCGCTTCCCTTCAAGGGTAATGCACATTCTCTTGGCGACTCGCGTCGATTAGCCGAGAAATGTTTCTTTTGTCTCGAACGCAAAATGCAGGCTTCGCCTGAACTCAAGCAAGCCTATGATGACGTCATTACGGAGTATTTAGATAAGAGTTATATTTCACCCGCACCCGTTAATGAAATCACGTCTAAATTGCGCGTCGTACTCAATGCTAGCGCTAAAACTAGCACGTCCGTATCTCTCAACGATCTTCTTTATAATGGACAGAATTTACAACGCAATTTATTTGATATTATAGTTAACTTCAGATTATTTTCAGTAGCTCTCTCTGCCGATATTAGGCAAATGTTTCTTTGCATTCGTATTAGAGAGAGTGAATATTTCAACGCATATTGTATAGATTTTCGCCTGACGAACCTCTCCAGGTTTATCAGTTTAATCGCGTTTGTTTTGGACTCAAATCGAGCAGATCGTTCCCAAAATGTACATGGATGATTTAGTATATTGTCTAGATAGTGAAGATGAGGCTATCGTCACAGCTGCTGAGATCATCTCACTCATGAAGGCCGGACAATTTGATCTTGTCAAATGGACGAGCAATTCGCAAGTAGTTTTAAATTCCATTCCGTCAACACATCGACTTTCGTCGGTCGTAGAATTCGATGTGTCTGATACGCAAAAATTCTGGGTCTGTGCTGGTCTTAGCTCAGATTTATTTAGTTTAAAAATTTGCACGCCCGCTGAAAAGTGTACAAAACGCACCATTTTATGTGGGATGTAATGGGTTTCGTAGCACCCGTTATATTATTTGCCAAACTTCTTGTCAAAGAGTTATGGTTATGCAACTGCGATTGGGACGACGCCCCCCCTGAAGTTAGTCTAGATCAAATTAAATTACAGCGCCATGTTGACATCACAAAACGCAGTGTGGTGAACATCATTATGAAAAGGCTTAACTTCCACGTCGAGAATGAAGTGCAAAATCTAAGGTTATTCAAGGTCGTGTCGTTGGTAGACTCGAACTTTGCGCAGCGCTTTTGCTCGCTAATTTAATTAATAATATTGTTACCGCTGTTAACAACCGCTATCCAATTAAGGCAATACACGCATTTTCTGATTCAACAGTTGCTTTATGTTGGATCCACGCATCGCCCCACAGGTGGGATACTTTTGTCGCGAATAGAGTTTCTAAAATTCAATGCTTTCACCGCACTAAATTTTTATCACGTGTCTGGTTCGGACAATCCAGCCGACTGTCTATCGCGAGGGCTTACTCCTGCCCAAATAATTCACCACCCCCTATGGTTCAACGGCCCGCAGTGGGCTAAATCCACCTTTTCGGAATGGCCAGTCACCACTTTCAATCCTTCTGCTGTTATGGACCCGCCTGAGGAGAAGAAACTCTCCTTTGTTACTCGTACACCGCCAGAAGAATCGGTTTTCATCGCTCTGGCAAATCGCTTTTCTTCTTGGTCCAAGCTTCTTCGCTGCGTAGTTTATGTCTGTCGTTTCGCAAAATTATTAACCCCGCTAAAATTCATAACCGCAGCAGATTTAGATTACGCAGAACTTGTAATCCTTCGAGAATTACAGGCTTTGTATTTTCATGGGGAAATTAACAATTTACAAAATGGAAAATTTTGTTCCCGATCACTTCAGCGACTCAAACCCTTCATTCTAGAAGGTATAATTAGAGTCGGTGGTCGTTTGAGAAATTCGAACTTGAATTTTGATCAGAAACACCCTATTGTTCTTCCCCGGAAACATCATATATTGGATTTATTAGTAGACTATCACCATAAAGTTAATTGTCATGCTGGTCCTGATTTACTGATGTCTATTTTAAGGCAGAAATATTGGATTTTATCTGCCCGCAACTTGATTCGCCACAGAGTGCACAAATGTGTACCTTGTTTTCTTCGTCCGAAATCGACATTTCCAGAAATGTCAGATCACAAACCCTGTCGTGTTCTTGAAACATTAAAACCATTCATGTACACAGGTACCGATTATGCTGGTCCTTTCAAAATAACTATAACACGTGGTCGTGGCATACGGTCTACTAAAGCTTATATTTGTTTATTCGTTTGTTTAACAACCCGCGCCGTCCATATAGAATTGGCAGGAATTTAAGTAAGCAAGTTTCATGTCATCTTAAACGGTTTTTATCTCGTCGTGGTCCTGTAGCTCATATCTACTCCGATAATGGCACTAATTATATTGGAGCAAAACGCACGCTTTCGGAACTTCACGCATTTTTATAAACATTTTAACACCGAATTTGCGCACGTCTTGTCAGAAAACCGCCTGACTTGGTTTCTCAAACTCCCGCTGCTAGTCACTTCGGAGGTAATGGGAGACTAATATAAAAAGTTTGAAAACGCATTTGTTCAGGGTCGTTGGGGTTCAAGTTTTATCAATTTGAGGAAATGATTACGGTACTCACGCAAGTAGAGGCAATCATGAATACTCGACCATTATGGCGGACTTTATCTAATGATCCGTCAGAGCCGCTTGCACTAACACCCGCACATTTTTTAAATTTTACTCCGTTGAAATATTTGCCCGCCGCAGAAATAGCTGACAGTTCTTTGATTTCACGCCACGCATTATTAGACAGATTAGTGCAAACGTTCTGGAAGCGATATGCACACATTACAATCTCGCGAAAAATGGAATACGCCCGTCAATCAGATGACTGTCGGAACTGTTGTAATTGTACGTACTGAAAACGCGCCACCACTTCATTGGCCTTTAGGGGTTATTGAAGAGGTCTTTCCGGCTTCTGACGGCGTAATTCGGGTTGTTTGTGCAACCGGCTCCTAACGTCTGTGCCCCTTACCTAGACATTAGTTTTAGTTAATACGAGTTCTAGGTTAAGGTTTAGTTTATTTTAAGTTTCTATTTTTACTTTAGGCGTCCCTTCAAGGCGGGGGGGAATGCGCCATATAACATTACATTTTTGTTTATCATTGTATAATTATTATTAGTAATAGTTTGTTCAAATAAATAATTTAGCGTGGTACGAAACGTTAATTTTCTAAGGATTGGCACTACACTAATTCCTTTATCCTCTCCTATTCCCGTACCTTTGTTTTAAGTGCGAGCGAGAAGATTCGCTTGTATCGAAAGTGACATATCGCGCTCGCGCGTCACTGTAAAATTGAACGCTGAAGTTGACATTGAATTCCCGCCTTGATCGCGCTTAAGATCAAGTTTTTTTGTAATTCGTGATAATTACTAAACATTTTAATCCACCGCATCGCTCTAGTGTGTTTAAGACCATTGTGTTTGTGCCATTGTTGTGAAGCAAGTAGCTGGGACCTGGAGACACCGATAGCCGCCGCACTGCAACCTACAATTCAAAGGTACTGTGCCTCCTTCCTTACCAGAATGTCTTTCTTTGTGTTCCATCCTCACAAGCAGTTCTCAATCACCAACCTAACAGTGTATCAATCCACGTACCCGTCAGATTATTTAGATACAGTCCACTTAAATCAAAATCAAACAATATTTATTTCACCCGCGCCGCCAGTATTTATTTATAGAATATTTCAAACAAGATATGTAAAATTATACAATATAAAAAAATAGTAAAAATAAATAAGATATTGCATTACATTTACAATTATTAATATTTGTTAACATTATATATTGTTATTTTGTCTAAATATTTTTTAGTATTTGTGTCAAAAATACTTAATTTTTTTAAATTTATTTGTGGACCGCAATACAACATCACGTTATCTTGTGACATTTATTATATCACCAATGTCATTCTAGAGGACTAATATATGATTATGAGGTTTTAGTTTGTTGTCAAACACAAATCTTTAGTCATAATTATACAAAAATTAAAATTATAAATTGCATAATTATTAAGAATCATGTTCAAGTACGTACAATCTTACATCTAGTTGTACAATATAAAAAATTCTAACTGTTAATTCTATATTTCCATGTCCTTTTCTAAGATTAGGTACACAGATGAAAACTAGTCAATACTGTATATATTTGAACTATTATTTTATAAACTTTATATATTTAAAAAAAAATTGATATATGCCACATATGTGAATAAAAGGCATTGTAATTAGGATTATACATATACTCAAAAAGATAATAAAAAAAAGTCTTCGATTGTTTCGTTGGGTTGCATGCGATTGACATTGCGATAGCCTAAATCTAAATATATATAACTCAAAGGTGACTGACGTAGTGATCTATCAACGGACAGCCCAAACCACTGGACGGATCGGGCTGAAATTTGGCATACAGGTAGATATTATGACGTAGGCATCCGCTAAGAAAGGATTTTGATGAATTCTATCCCCAAGGGGATAAAATAGAGAATAAAAGTTTGTATGAAACTTTGTCAATTTTAAACCGATCGGGCTGAGACTTTGCATGCGTAAAGCTACTATGACGTAGGTATCCCCTAAGAAAGGATTTTGATATATTCCACTCCTAAGGGGATAAATTAACGCGAGCGAAGCCGCGGGGAAAAGCTAGTATAATATATGCAAAATAAATTGTACCAATTTATTTTTATTTACAACTTCATCTACTTAATTGGAATAATAATATTGTATAAAGACACCGAGATAAAAGGACCCTTTTCAAATATTGCAAGTGAACAGCGACGTGTTCACAACACTAAATCATGGCTGTGCTATAGATTAGTTCAATAAGTGAAACCATATTGGTACAAGTAATTACTGTATTCTATCAGAACTTAATATATCAGAACACAAAAAGACAGGACAGAATAGAATAACTGAATAACAGAACAACAGAGCAACAGAAGAACATATCAACTAAACAACAGAACAGAATAATAATACATAAAATCCGTTTGAGTTATCAGCGCCTTAAAAATATTCACTAATGCCATCTAGCGTCTTAAGTGAAAACTGTTAATTATTACGAATATTTATTATCTAAATTACACAACATGGTCTCAAAAAATCATAGCAAATGGTTAACCCATTACGATGTAACAAATAAACTTATATATGTATGTATTAGGAGGGATACTTATTTCATTTAATACCATAGAGTGACATACGTACCTACATGTATGTACCTACCCTGAGCCGTCTTTGGGGAAAAGGGTCATGATAAACGGATGACAAAGTGTTCCTCCAAGGATTTACGCTTATCTTTCGGGGTAGGTATGGAGCTGATTTTTTAATGAAAAAAATCCGCTTACTGCTGTAACTTCAGACATATGTAGGTGGGTAAAAATAGTGCTTTTTTTGGTTCCATATCCATAGAGCGGTTTGATTTTTTTTTTTATATCTGCGTACAAACTATATTGTATAATCTTATATATTTTATGTAATTTAAATCATTATCAAGTCATTGGACCGTCTAATGGTAAGTGGTAACCCCTATATTTAAGCAGCACTACGGATACCACGTTATGATTTGAAGCTCTATATTCCGACGGACTAAGATCTTGTCCTCCAATAATGTCACTGCCATATCTCAAC